TAAACTATTTTTTCTTTTTTCTTTTTTTGGGGGAGATCATCACATCCTACTCTAGATGCAGAGCATGGGGTGCCAGGGATTAAACTCTAGTCTCTGTGGTTGCCTAAGTTTGCCTAAGCTGTTACTTTAGACCACTGAGCTATATCATCTGCCCAAGCACAAACTATTTTTTCAGTGGGTAGAAATTAGCAGTATAATTAATTACCTTAGGCATCTTGTACAAATATAAAAGTATATTTTTCACTTCCTTCTTTTCTACCTTCCCCCATCCCAGTTGTTCTTTCTTTTGAGCAGTTAATTTCCTTTTCGCAATATCTACTGTAGCTTTGTGACCTTATTTAATCTTTCTGTTTCTTAAAATATAGAGAGTCCACATGATGCATATACATATGAGTCTGATTTATTTCATTTATGAATATGGTCTCAAGTTTCAATTACTTACCTATAAAACCCCAAGTTTATCCTTCTTTATTTCTGAGTAGTATTTCCCTGTATAGAAATACTATATTTTTTGTACCCATTCCTTTGTGTACGGGCATATGTGTTTGTCTGGCCCACAACTTCATCTAAGTTATTGTCCATGAAGTCTGTAAATGACAATTTTTGTGGCACAGGATTCATATCTGTGTTATTTATATGATAGTGCATGATGAATTATAAGACTGTGACTCCATTTTCATCCCTAATGTCCTCATGAGAAAGGGGCAGAGTATGGACAGAGCCCAGGACAAAGGAAGGTGACATCATGCCTGAGACAAGAAGCCTAACTGTGGAGTTTGATGATGGAGCAAATGACCAAGAGGCAGAGATGGAAAGGAAAGCTCCTCTTTAACCTGATGAGGCAGCAAATTCTGTCACACTTAGGAGTGGGAACTGAGCATCAGCCTATTTTATCTTACAACTTGTATTCTTAGAACTCCGATGAATCAACTATTCTGTGTTTAAGTCGCATCTGCTGAGAGATGAAAAATATACATAGAAATATGTGCATATATTGGTGCCTGAAAACAGTACTTGTCCATGTGAAAATCAAATGATAATTTGGTGATTTATAGAGAACATGAAATGTTTGAGGTGCAAAAGAGAAAAACTTTTGATTTTCTTAAACATATTTTTAGCACAATTTTTTGTTAAATCACTGCTGGTAAGGACAGAGAAGAAAATCTGAGTTATTATTGAATCCTAGAGGAATAAATATCCTTCTCAGTGAGTTAGGAAGATTCACTGTATTCAGTTCAACAATTGATACATTGCATATTTTATGAACAATAAATGTGTAGTTAGTGATATTTCAAATAGTGTGCAGTGGTTGCATCTTTGATTCTTGGAAGTTATAATAAATTATAAAACAAAAAGAATGCAATAAATAGTGAAACCGATCCACAATTCAATCATTTGGAGAACTTTAAAGTTTCATACACTTAGAATCATGGCAGTGGCTGGAGAGATGGCTCAGTAGAATAGGCATTTCCCTGGCAAGCACAAGGGGCTGAGTTCAATCCCCGATTCTGCAAACAAACAAATAAATAAATAAATAAATAAAGTAAAATAAAATCATGGTAAAGTTAGGGGAGTCATTCGATATGACCCTCAAATTTTTAGCCTCATGATCAAATGAACGCTCCCTAGAAGAACAAAAGGGGTGGGTGGACCCATCTTGGTTGTAGTTTCCTTCTTTCTGTTGTACTTTATTTTTACTCGATATAAATTCATCACCTTTTTCTTAGTTTAAAATTTATGACAGATTTACTGAATTAAACTTTATATCCCATAAAATGTTTGCACTTCTAGTATATGATTCAGCAGAGTTTAGTAAATGGCAGAGTTGCACACCCATGACCATAACAAATTATGCAACTCCTGTTATACCAAAGCAACACAGTCTACCTACTACGTATAATCTACCAATCCCTCCTCTCCAAATCAAAGGAATCAGTGAGCTATCATTGTCTTCATAGGTGTTCCTACTTTGGAATGTTTAAATTCAAATCAACCCTGATCCGTTACAGTAAAGACTTCCATATATCCAAACAAATGAAAATTCTGCAAAATGAGCCCTTTCACCATATTGGAGTGAAATTAGGAACCACAAATCACACATAGGATACAATATCTCTCTTTCTCTCTCTCCTACTCACATCATTTGTCATATACATATATGTGTGTGTGTGTGTGTGTGTGTGTGTGTGTGTGTGTTAAGGTTTTACAGATAGAAAGCCATGTGATGGTCAAGTTCTTGTCTGTTTCATTCAGTTTATTTGACTATCTCCAGCTGAATCTATTTTCTTGCTAGCACCACAACTTCATCTTCCTTACAGCACAGTCAGTTCCAACTGTTTATAAATACCACATTTCCTTAATCCGTTCATCTGTTGATGGGCAAATAGGTTGATTCCAGGATTTAACTGTCAGTGACTGCAGCTGTGACACGCGTTCACATACATCACTGTGGCAGGATATTCTACCACTTTGGGAACCATACCTGAAATCAGAACATCTGGGTTAAATAAAATCCAAATTTTATTTATTTGTTGGGTCGTACCAGTTTTATTATTTTCAGAGCTTGTCTCTGTTTATGTTCCAATCAACTACAGTGAAGGCTTTATTTTTCCCCATAAACTCACCAGCATTAGGTTTAGAATAATTTCTGGTTGGCAGCATCTTCACCTGTGGTAAGATGGAATTGCAACGTTCTTTTAATTTGCATTTACAGAATGGCTAGTGTTGAACTTTTTCATTAAATATAATGCCTAACTGTATTTCTTTGTGTTGGGTCTTTTTTTAAATTGGTCTAAAGAGCTGAATTATTTCTATATCTTAATGTTAGTACTTTTCAGAGAAGCAGCTAGAAAAGCTTTCAGTTATGTAAGTTGTCTCATCACATTTTTGTTTTCATGGAAATGCAAAAGATTTTTAATTCAGTGAATCACACTTATTGAATCTTGGCGTTATTTCTTTTCACAACCAGATTTTTTTCAAGGAAGTTCGTGCATGCACTCATGTCTATGAGACTAGGACCTCTTTGTCACCCAACAAAGTAAGTGTTTCTGTTCTAAATTTGATCCATTTTGATTTTAGTTTAGTGTATGACAAGAGATATGAAGCTAAGTTCAAAGCTAAGTTTAACCTTCAGCACGTGGATGTCAGGGTACACAGCTTCCTTATTTAACGAAGCCACCTTTCCTGAATGGACAGCTTTGTCGAAGCCAGTGTAGCTGAGAAGGCACGGAGTTGTTTCTGTGTCTGCTATTGGTCCACGAGTCTGTTCTTCTGACAAGACCATGGTGTTTGGGTCAACATAGCTTTGTAGCATAACCTGAGGTCCAGGATTTGGATGCCTCCTGCCCTGACACTGTTACCTAGAATTGATTTTAATATTCTACATCCTTTCTGGTTCCACATGAATTTTAGGATTTCTCTCTCCAGTTCTGTAGGGAAGGCCACTGATATTTTAATCTGTACTGCATTAAATCTATTTAAAATTTATATAGGTAAAGTTGCTTAAATTACATTTGCTCTGCTATCCTAGAACAAAGACTATCCTTTCATTTTCTGGTGTCCTGTTTGATTTGCTTTTAATGAGAACGCTGAACTTTTGCTATATACTTACTTCCTGAACTATCTTGGTTTGGTTAAACACTAAGTATTTGATTTTTGAACTGGTCTTTTGATACTAATATTTTCTTAATTTAATCTTGGTTCTCTTGTTGTACTTTTTTATGATTAAAAATTTACTTATTAATTTATTTCAGAATTTCAAATATTAAACCTAATTCATTTTATATATTAAAGTATGTAACTGTAAAATACTTGAATGTGTCAAGAATTTAATCCCATGCTCAATCTTGTTTGTTTTTTTTTCCCAGTGGCACTAGAAATTGAAGACAAAGCCACACCTACTCAAGTGACCTGCCACCAAGCTTCATTTCTAGCCCACAGAATCAGATTTTAGGAGCAATTAAGAAGTGAATACAAGAACATTTTTGTAGCCTGAGTTTGCCGTAAGACACGCACTCCCATGTGGCTCTTACTTTTAAGATCATGGTAATGGTCACTCACATTAAATAACCATGTATTGAAATCCATCTTGTTATTCTTGTATAGAAGTGCTCTTAATCTTGGGTAGCCTATTGCTAAAACTGGTTATGAGTGGCAGCAATGTTTTGGTGGAGTTTTGTGGTTCTCCTATGTGAAGAATTATGTTAGCTGCAGATAATAGCAATTACTTCTTGGTCTAAACTGCTTTTATTACCTTTTTTAAATCTAGCTAATGGCTTTCCTTAGGTTGTCCGTGCTCTGAGCTCTCTGGATTTCTCACTTTCTCTGGCCACAGTAACTCTCTCTGGGAGCACATTCTGCTAAGTGGAAATAAAAAAGGTAATTGTTTCAATTCCTTAGAATTTGAAATTGCGCTAGTATTATGATCAGCCCACTTTGTGCCAACTACTAATGCAACTGATTGAAAACTCAATGTCCACACTCTTAATTTCTTAGCATAGTGATTTGACCTTACAAATTGGAAATTATCTCTACTCTAAGTTTTTAATCATGCAAACTGGGCTGAGGTGATTTCCCCATATAATCAAAGTGCTCTCTCATTCTACTGATACTTCAGTCAGAAAATATAATGTTTTGTAAATGAATCTTCAGGTGCATCATCTCTCCCATCTCAGCAGTAAGGCAGCTGTTGCCATTCAGGTTTTCTGACACATGCAGGATGTGGTTACCACACTGTGTTTCGCACAATAATACACAGCTGTGTCCTCAGACCCCAGACTTCTCAGTTCCATGTTGGATGTGCTTGAGGACTTGTCTCCAGTGATGGTGGCTCTGCCCTGGAACTTCTGAGCATATCTAATTTCTCCATCTCTTAGGTCTACAGCTCCGATCCACTCCAGCCCCTGTCCAGAGCCCTGTCGCACCCAGCTTATCCATGCAATAGTGGAAGTGTAGCCAGTAACCTTGCAAGATAACTTCACTGAGGCCCCAGGCCTCTTCAGCTCAGCCCCAGACTGCTCCAGCTGCACCTGGCCATGGGCACCTGTGGAGAGAAGACTGAAGTTGGAGGCAGGGCCCTCTGACAGCTCTGACGCTTTCCTTAGAGCTAAGACTGGGGATCACCTTACTTTTCACAGCTGCCAGCAGAAAGAGGATTCTCCAGGTCCAGTCCATACTGCTGAGCTTTTCTCTTCTCCAAGAGGTGCAGATGGTGGTGTAATGATCTTGGCCACAGAGATCTCTTTATTTAACTCAGCAGGCTCCAGTTATTTGCATATTCATGATTCAAGACACTTCTTAGTTCTAGATCTGCTCCAAATGGAAGGAGGAAGTAATTGTTTATGGACCATGTAGCAGTGGGTCGATGGGTTCTATATCCTTTTGCTATCTGAAAAGGTACACCTCCTGCTATTTGTTAAAACTTGTATATTGAAGACATCATATTACTGAGAATGGAGCCATAACATGAAGTGTCTGCTAAGTGAATCCAACCTTAATGGACACAAAACACATCAGGTTCTTTCCAGCTCTCAGTGTCCTTAATGGTACATTGAGCTCTATGTAGTTGAACCAAGTGTCATCAACCTTCAGTGTTGATCCATAGAGAGGATCATGGAACATCCCATATGTGTGCTCAGAATGAGGGAGAGACCACTATGATACCAAACAGGTTTCCTGGGATTGTATCTGCAGCACCTATCTGGATTGGTAGTGTCTCATCTGCTTTGTAGGAAAACCCTTGGGTCTCAGATAAACTCTGTGATATATACAGTAAAGGTCCGGGTGTCTGATCCCATCAAGGGTGATATTTGAATGTGAATCATGATAACTCAGTTTCTAAAAGGAAAAAAAAAAAAACACATCTTTTTCATCCATTCCTCAGGTGACGGGCGTCTTGGCTGTTTCCAGGATTTGACTATCACAAATTGTGCTACTATAAATATAGGCACACATATATCACTACATGATGTTTTCAGATCATCTGGGAAAATTCCCAATAGGGATATAACTGGTTTGAATAGCATTTCCAGTCCTAGTATTTTAAGGAGTCTCCACACTGATTTCCATAATGGTTGCACCAGTCTACATTTCCACCAGCAGTGGAGAAGGGTTCCTTTTCCCCTAGTCTCTCCAACATTTGCTGTTGGTTGATTTATTTATGATAGCCATTCTTTCTGGGGTAAGATGGTGTCTCAGTGTTGTTTTAATTTGCATTTCACGGATTGCGAGTGAGGTGGAACATTTTTTCACATATTTATTCACTTCTATAATTTCATCCTCTTGAGAAGTATGTGTTCATTTTGGATGCCTATTTCTGGATTGGCTCTAAATTTTGGAGCTCTAATGTGTTTTAGTTCTTTATAAATTCTAGAGAGCAGAACTTTGTAATTTCTAACATGCTGCCTAACAGCTTGCATTGATTTTCTTTGGATCTCATTCACAATTCAACAAAGCAGAAGTTTGGAGATCCACAGAATTAATGGTGGCATCCACTCTTCCAGCTCTTTACCTCTTAATTTGTCTGCATGCTCCATATATCTGTCACATGCTCTGAAACCCTAAACACTGTCACACATTCATTTTTTATGTCAGCACCAGAACCTGCTGGTGTGGATCATGTTCCCATCATTCCAGTTTAAATGAATCCATCCTATGTCCCAGACCCTCATTTCTGAGTTATGAACAGTACCAGAAAACCCACATTTGTCATTTTTTGGACATGAGCCTTTTAAATAAACTCAGCCAGTCAAAACAGATACTTATCAAAGTTGTGTATTCATATAACATTCTGATTTTGGATGACTTTTTGACAGAAGAGGACTGAAGTTGAAAGGGAACCAGCTAGCACTTGCAGAATTGCTCCAAACTTCAGGAGTGTTGACTGCAGTTTAGCACAGTAGTTGAGCACTCACCTTCTCTGCGACCTTAGACAGGACACTGCATATCACACAGGTGAATATGTACAGTGCCTCCAGTGCAGAGGAGAGTAGTGAACTGGCTTTCCAGGAGACCACAATCTTCTGACCCAGGTAGTAAAGCAGGGATCTCTCATACTGACACTGTATTGCTACAAGAATATCCAAGCTGGGAGATAAGAACAAAGCTAGGGTTTGTGTTGAGAGAGGTCTTTTTATCACTTTATGCATGCCCTGCCAAGGGATCTTCAGTCAGCAGGGACAACTCAATCCCCCAGTCATTAAACCTCACAGGAAGTCACAGCAGAGGGTTGCTGTTGTTCATTTTGGGCCTAGATTAACAAGACACTGCACACAGAAGCTGCCTGAATCTTACGTTTCAGAACTGCTTTTTCCCAACACAATTCATACATGATGCTGGGACTAGATAGTATCCACACTCTATACAAAGTTTCCTGTATGTCTTAGTTACTTTCTTCTCTTTGCTGGGACAAATACCTGACTCTCAGAAGGAAGGAAGGAAAATTTTATTTAGCTCACAGTTACTGGAGGTTTCAGTCCATGTTCAGCTGGGTCCAAGGCTGACCAACACATACTAGAAAGCAACCTTTCATGATGGTGGCAAAGAGCAAGAGAGCAAAGTGAAGGAGTAGCAGCAACAAAAGCAAAAGGCAACAATGACAACAGAGAGAAAGTCTGTCTGTCTGTCTGTCTGTCTGTCTGTCTGTCTGTCTGTCTCTCTTATGTTATGTTTAGGCTATCCACCCCTAGGCTGGGTGTAGCACTCACAGCCATAATCCAAATAGTAGTAACACCTGTAATCACACTGGATCATGAGTTAATCTCAAACTCAAGACATTCCTGCCCCATGACTGCATGAGGCTTTGGGGGTGACAACTATACACAAACCATAACACTGTACCTGCAAATGATGAGGGTGTGTAGAATGTAGGGCATCATCCCACCCAGGGTTCTGCCATTTTTAGGGAGCATGGTGCTTTGCAAAGCTCTTCTCAAATATGTTCACTCACATTTGCAAATTTGAGACTGAAATCTGGATCTGAAATCTTCTGGATCCTGTGATGTACTCCGGCCATCTTTCTAATTGTTCTCTTCATATTTGTAATAACATTCATTGCTGTTCCTATTTCTGCCAATAAATTCACTTGACTTAGTTTGGTTGACAAAATTAAAACTTTGGAAAAAAATTTTGGGCCATCTGCCTTGATATTGAAGATGAAAACTGGTCAAAAGTCAACATAACCAAGTTACTGCCACAGTACTCGATTGCCATAAAATTATTTCTCCAAGATTTAGGGGTCCCTGCACTTAAACTCAACCTTATCTACATTTATGGACACAAGGAAAATTACAAAATATTGTCTTCCAATGCAGAGTAAACATGGTCTGGTTTCCAGAAAACCAAAGTAGTCCTTATTCCTAATTGAGCCCTGGTGAGCCTAGCCTGTACTGGCCATGCTTCTAATTGGAATTTGAGTCTTCTGATCTCTGACCAACAGATTCAGCACAGCATGGTCAGGGCACATGGCACAAGAACTACTTTTCATGCTCTGACAGAAAGGTAGCACTGAGATGGTCTTCCATGTTTCCCTTTATATATGGACTTAGACATGTGAACTTATTGATTTGAACCCTCAAGAAACACAGTGTGTGGCTTGCCTTTCCCACACCTAGAACTGTGCTAATCTCATTAATTAGTATACATCCTTAATTATTATTCTCTCAAACTAAGCACACCCACAACTGCAAAGACCCATTTAGAAAGGCATGAGCGAGAGAGAGAGAGAGAGAGAGATAGACAGAAAGACAGACAGACACAGAGACAAAAAGATCAAATATTACCCATAGTATTGTATACATTTCTATTACTAAATTTCACAAAAAATTAAGTCCCTGTCTCTCTTTAGATACAGTGAACAGAAGCCCTTGGACAGTAGCCCGTGTTCACTGTAGCCCTATTCCCTCCTCCCTTGAGCACAGTGCTTCATCTTTTTCTGGTGCTGCTTGAGGGGAAAAGTTCTCTGAAATGAGCTATCAAAGCAGGAAGGTGTCTGTTCTGAGATCCTGTGAGTCATCTTGTGAAAGCTTCAGTTCTCTAATCGGAAGCATCTATTCATACAATAGACAGTACCTTGTCATGGAGGTTAAATTATTAGGTTGATACTAGACTATGTTAATTTAGCATTCAAAAGAAATTTAAACACACAAAATTTACAAGGTACTTTTATTTACATGCATGTCATCTTTACTCAAATAATAAAATTCATGTTAAGCTGAGGAAGAAAATAATTATATAAATATAATTATGCAATTAAACATATCAGAATATCTTTAATCGGGACTGCACGTCTTCATAAATCATATGCAGGTTCAATCTGCGATCTGCTCAGGTCATTTGACGTTAAGACAGACAGGAAGCCAAACACGGATAGGAAACCCTTTCTCCACAGATTCCTTATCCACCCCTGGTCCTGGGACCTTTCCTGGTGTTCTGTGGATCCCTCGCGCCCCCTGCTGGTCGCGGTGCCCTGAAGGCGATTTCTGTCTGGCCTGCGTATTTCCCTGTTCTAGTAATGCACAATCACATCTTCAGTTTTCAGAATTATAATTTGTAGGTAGAGTGTATTCTTGGTCTTGTCTCTGGGATAATCAATTGGACCTGCATGGAGGCTGCATAATATGTGCTACCTACTACTCTAGAGTGTCAGCGTCTGCAAAGGAATCCTTTGAACCTTGTGGACTAGAGCAGGGCTCCCGGCACTCCACCTGGTGCACCTCACGTGCAACAGCTTCGAACAGAGTCGTCCTGCTCACGAAACTGACACGTATATCCCCTATTTATTGCACGCAAATTCAAGTGCACATTGAAGATCTGTTTTGCTCTACACACTCCAGCATCAGAGCTTGGGGCCTAGGTAGTTCTTACCAGCAGAGGGAGGCCCTATTGCCATGTTTGTTTGCTCTCTCTCTCTCTCTCTCTTTCTCTCTCTCTCTCTCTCTCTCTCTCTCTCTCTCTCTCTCTCTCTTTCTGTCTTTCTCTCTCTCTCTCTCTCTCTGTCTCTCTCTGTGTGTCCTCTCTCTCTCTCTTTCTCTCTCTTTCTCGCTTTCTCTGTGTCTCTGTCTCTCTTCT